GCTGTTTATGCAGTCCATATGCTCTCTGTTTGACTCTTGTGTATCTTCAGGCCCTTAGAGGAGGAGGGAATTTTTTTTTATATTTGAGACCCCCAACTCTGTGGGAGTTCAGACTTGCCTTGTAGACAAAGCACACACTTCTGCACTCTCTAACTCCTTCTTATCGTCTCTTTCGCTCTCTCTGCCTCCTGTCTTTGTCAGAGTAGGAGGTAATGAATTACGTATGAGTAGCAGAAAAGGAGCATGGCCGTGTGGATGAGCCCTTTAAGAGCAAAGTCTTGTCCTAACCCTGTTGCTCCAGGACCATTTAAAAGGCATGCCGGCTCCTATGAAGATCCCATTTGGCCTTTCAGTCGGCTTCACTCCAGCAAGCCTATCACAATCGTTTTCTCTTTTCTTCTTTGTGTGTCTCTATGGGCTCTTTCACATACTTACTATCCATTCACAGTTGGCTGTGCACCAAAACACAAATTAAACAAATGTTTTCTTCTACTGCAGAAACAATAATTTGCATGTTTCTTAATTTGGTTAATTGGCAGATTTTATTTATTTTTTTTAACTATAAGGTACCAGACTGAAGGTGAACAGAATGTTTTGTTTTGAGTCTTTGTAAGTCTTAAAGATGATTTCACTCCTCCTTCAGACAAACTTAAATGTTTTTTTTTTATCTTGAAACACTTCAAAGAGTGATCCCAGCATTTCTTTAGTTAACCTGAACAGCTGTAAAAGAACAAAACAGAAAAAAGTTTAAACATAGCTATTTGTTACAAATTAATTGAATCAAAGCTGACATGTTTGGTTAAGCAGTTTAAAAAAAATGCCTAATATTAAATACAAACCTAGGTTTATTTTGTGTCTGATAATATTGCTGCTTTTTTAATAAAGTAAAAGTACATTTAACTTGTTTCTCACTTATCAAATTATCATTACAATTAATTTATTTCATTCATTCTGATCCAGATGCACAAAACTCTAAGATAAAACAGAGTGTGCAAGTCAAAAACGTGTTATAACAGTAATTTTATATTTGATTTAAAGTTTTAAATATGGYCATATTTATTTGAACTGTGTTTTGTCAAATTAAACCTTTATATATGTAAGCATAAGTTGTTAAGTCACTTTTTTGTAGTTTCTAAAATTAATAATAAGATAGATAGGTAGGTAGGTAGGTAGGTAGGTAGGTGATAGATAGATAGATAGATAGATAGATAGATAGATAGATAGATAGATAGATAGATAGATAGATA